TATACGGCATAAAGTCATGCTTCGAGTTTTTGGCTGTATGGGTCAGTACAAGGTGCTAGATGATAAACGCAGTTACTTTGATAGCAAGGTAGCATGGGGCATGCATCTGAACATGTCCAAGGAGAGTAAAGGTTGGTTTATGTGGGGTCCTCCCGTAAAAGTGGATGTTGTGTCAAGGGACGTGATCTTTTATGAAGACATGTCCCCGTCTTATTGGAAACATTTTTTTCCCTCTTGAGTCCTTTCAAGTTTGTTTTTATTTTTTATTTTTTTCTTCTCCCCAGATTTTGAACCTTCAACAATCATTTTTAGTGGAGTCCCTACATCATCACCACAGCAGCAATACAAAGACACGTCTCATAAGCAAGACCAACAACTATCGTGATTATCTTCTGCTCCCGCCCCTTATCAAGAAGAGCAACATCAGCAGCAACCGTCACCACCTCCATCACACCAGCAACATCTCCACCCGATTTGCCTCCTCCTCTCCAATCCTCTCATAGTTTCTAGCAGCAATAGCGGCACGAGACGCATCCTCCCGACACTCACACTCTTCAACCTTCCCTCACACCTCTCGTCGTTCATCGGCCTAGCAGCTATCGTCCAGCAGCCCTTCTTCACCTTCCCGATCATCGTCAACTCATACTGTCAACCGTGCAACCACCAGCAACACAACATCACACATCTTCTTATATACAGCATTCAACAATTCCGTCTGCTAGAGCTCCATCAGAATCCTTTTTACAACCAGCAGCACCGCCAAGGTCGCCCCACCAGATCGATATCAATTATCCACCACACATGAGCACGTCGTCCTCTGCAGCACCAACATTTTCTACCTCATCTTTAGCACAATTCCTCTCTCATCTATCATAGTCCACCTTCACCCCTCTCCTCTGTTCACCTCCAAGTCATTGATGTAGCGGTCACACCTGCTTGGTTACGATGCAGCTGACGACAGCTAGGTTTCTTCGGCCTCGCTGTCTCCCGACAACGCTTGTCTCCAAGCGTACCTTCGGTCTGCAGGCACCGCGGATGTCGCCTTCTTGGGAGGGGGGTAGTGTTACGAGGTACTTTATTGTTCAAGGGTGGTTTACCTTAAACAGTGCCCCCAGCCTTATCACAACCCTATCTTCATCCAACTCATCCAAGATTTCCAAAAATTTCAAGTGCCACGTGACATTCTAACTTTCTTGCCTTCCAATTCCTAGTCCCAAAAAATGCTTTCCAGGTTTTGTTCTTGCATGCTACTTAAACCTTGCTTGTATTCACAAGTATGAACCAATTCTTATTCAACTCTTTGATTATTCAGTAACTTCTTCGCCTATTTCGCCCATAGTTTTTCGCCAAAGTCTTACGTCGTATTTCATCCTCGACTTAGTCGACCCCGCTGATTCTTTAGCGGACTTAGACCAGCGGGCCTAAGGGCGTGTAACCATTTTGGTTTTTGCTGTTTTTGCGGACTGTTCGATTTTTTGCAAACGGACAGTCCTACTAACGAGAGTAGGACTGTCCATTTTGAATGTTCGGCACCTTGTCACCGTCCAAAAGGGGCTGTGACACTTTTTCCGTGATTGTTAGCTTTGCGAATACTGTAGCTATGACGAAACAGTAGACTCCCGTAACCCAATTCTGCATTGCTCGCACAATTCGCCAAAATGGTTACACGCCCTCACAGAAACCGAGCGGGTTACCGAGCGGGTTTACGAGCTGTAAATGTACGCGCTAGACACCCACTTAGGGCGGGTCCCCGCGTTCGTTTCGGCAAAATGACAGAACTTTTTGAAATCTTAGAGATCAGAGATTCGTATCCGAAACGTGCTGAAAATCGAATCTGGTCCTCTGCTTTCTCGGGGGGGGGGGGGGGCAGTCTTCCCGCTCTAAGACATTGCTGTGCACTGTTCCGCGACTCTTAGAAATTGTCCTTAGCGCCAACCATTTCGTCAATGGTAACAAGGGTATCCACATTTGCACCTGGCGCCAATCTTGTGCGCCCAAATCCGTCACAACGCGATCTGTTATGCGACGCTGCATCTAGCCCACCAAACAAAATGTAGGGGGCGGGCAACTCCACCCGCAAGAATCATCTTGACACACACATGTTGGGCCTTGAAACTCCAGAAGCACTCATGCAGGGCCCCGGAAAGCTTTAAAACAATGAGTCATATGTGACTACGAACAGATTCTAGAAAGCAATTGAGGACATAAGCTAGACACGTCTCCACTAGCAATACACTTTTCATCCCTGCTCCACCAGGCACTGGTGTCAGTGATTGGGCACCTATCGGTAAAATTCTCGCCAAGATGCTGCCTCGCCCGTCCACGCCTTGACCAATGCTGCTCGCCATGACTCCATAGTACAGTGCCGCGGCGAATTCCGCTGTCGCTGGCACGACACAATGGCCAACATAGATGACGAAATCTTCATGCTGCTGTTCAGGCTTGAGAAGCACGTCTTGCGGTACATCCTCGAGGAGTACAAGTTGGCACGTGTACCGCGCAAGGTTGCCATAAGCCCTGAGCTGCGAGTAACCTTGGTGCTGACAAGGTTGGGCCATGGATGGTCGTTCAGGCTGCTCGGCTCGGAGTTAGTCGGAATGCCGCCATGAAGGTGTGCGACGATTTTGAGACCTTCACCGTGTGTGAGCTGGGGCCCTTGTGGGTCGAATGGCCCACTGAAGTCCGTCTGCCAGAAATGGAACGCGAGTTCATCCGCTTGGGAGGCATCCCCGGTGTGGTGGGCACCCTGGACGGGAAATTCATATTGATAAAAGGCATGGGCGAACACAAGCATTTTCTCCATGATTTTGCAGCTCATTGTGGATGCGAGAGGTTGGATTATAGATTATGATGTTGGCTGGCCAGGAAGCGTCAACGATGGAAGGGTTGGAATAATAGCATAGCAAAACAAAGGATCAAAAATGGAGAACTACATGGCATGTGCTTGGTGGCAAATGCCGCCTATCCCCTACAAGAGTACATGCTTCCCCCATACAAAGTGCCTACAGGCAGGACCCTAAGCAACGCTGAAACCATCTACAACAAGCAACAAAGTAGGGAGCGGATTCCTGTGGAGCAGGCAAACGGAAGTCTGAAAGGTAAATTTTGAATCATGGATGAAATGATGCAGTCTCACCCTAAGAAGGTCACTTGGACAGTTGGCGCTTGCTGTGTTCTGTACAACATCGAGGTTCACGTCATCGAGCTGGCCCACCGAGGAATGAGCACTGCTAATGGTTGACTGGGCCAGCCATGCAGGTGCATCTCATGCCAGCTGGTGCTCCGGGATTCACACCATCTCTCCGTCGAGATCAATTGGCGTAGCAGCTGCACGCGGGGTGGCAGCATGCGCATCCGGCCATGACCCGACCAACGATCGGGTGAGTATTTCGAACCTATCGCATGCACGTTCTACAGCAGAACTGATGGCTGATGCGATGCTTTCAGCCATGGCACTAGCAATAGCCGTTTCAGGCCCCTCAAGGTCAAAGACCTCATCACGCCAACTAGTGCTGCGTGTTGATGGCTGCTCTGCAGGAGGCGCCCTCGGCCCTGGCGCGACGATCGGGATGCTGGGACTAGTGGCACGTGATGGGCTGCCCTGTGCCACAGAGGCAACCGGTGGAGATTGTGCACCTGCGGCGTGAGGGAACTCTGCAACACCGCTCGGGCGAGTTCCAGTGGTATTGGTGGCAACATGGGTCCGCGGCAGGCGCACTGAGCTGCCACCGGTCGTGGCTGCAAGGATGGTAGCGTGGGCGCTCGCTGAAGGGCCCGTGATCGGGAGAGCAGGGTCGCGGTTGCCACGGATCGGGCCAACAGTAGCAGCGGCGGTAGTGTTGGCCCTGCCAACTGGTAGAGGGTGTAGGATAGAAGTCAGGTTATGTGTGGTTGTAGTGATCAGAGTAGGAATAAAAGCGTCAATGCCTCACCATTAGTAGCAAATGTGGTGCTCGTGATGCGATGGCATGGCTGAATTGCAGGGCGGTTTCCACAGATGCTCTCCATTAACGGGAACCATGAAGGATGGTAGCGAATGGCCGCTGCTCCCGAACGACCTGCGCGAGCATGAAGCTGACAGTATTGCGCCTCGATACAAAGAAGCTTCATCTTACATGTAGCCATCGAGAAGCGAAACTGGGGATGACGCTCACGAACCAGATTGTGGAGCGCCACCCAGTAGTTTGCGCCTTGCACACCAAGCATCAGGTCCCACTCGTCATTCAAATCGACCCGGGATTGCACCAACTGCATAGTTTCTAAAGCTAACCACTGGAGTGGCGTATGATTTTCAGCTTGTTTGGTCGGTGTGGCCGAAGGCTGAAGAAGTGCGCTCCCAATGTCGCCAGCGTCGTCTACATTCGGCAGGGTGTCCAAGTGTTCGCCGTAGTAGTCGTCAGCAAGATTGATGGGCTCCACTTCATGATCAGATTCGTCTCCTGTAGGGGTACTTTTAGCTTCGGGAGCGTTGCAATCACACCAGTACCAGCCGCGTGGAACATTGGAGGCCTTTCTGCAGATTCCTAAGTGCCGGACACTACTGCCGTGTGCTACGCGTAGTATATGCTGGCGCTGGGATTCAGCTTGGATTGCGGCATCTGTGGCGGAATGATTGAGTTTGCTGCGTAGCTGGTTGTGCAATGTATTCGGACATTTGGAATTGGTGTGGTTGGAATGGTGGTGTAAATTCGCCAATGTGACTTTCGCTAGGCTGGTAATTTTGCATGCTGCAGGTTTTTACTATTGAGAGAGGTTTGCGGCTGAGGCTTCACAGCAATTCGGAATCTGCACAATGATTTGTCCATACCTCGTCCTCACATCTTGTCGCGTTTGTGTGTGGGGATACCTTTGAACCTTATTTAGCTGGCAACCCTACGAATTTCGTTCTATGTTGCAAGAAATGAGATGACCTGATATGAAAATGACGCGCCCTTACCTTGCGAGGATGAACTTGGGTAATGCCTCAGTTTAGTAGCAATTCTGGCGCTCTTAATTTTGGCATGGCTAGTCCACCCGCCATGGCAGCAGCGAGTGCCGTCATTCTCAATGCGGACCAGATCCACTCCGCCAAGTCGTACTCCAGCGACTCTAGCGGCTCGAGCTTTTCAAGCGACTCCGGCGATTTGAGCGACGCGCGACCAGCTGCGACTAATGCGGGTCAGGGTGACATGCGACAGGAGTCAACGTTTACGGTTGATAACGACTCCGCTGCCGCTGGTGCGTCGTGTGCGACGCCTGCGACGGTGTACGAGGCGCGGCGACTGGCGAAGGTCCGTGAGACGCCCTGACTTGTGGCGGAGCTGCGGATGGAAGCGGAAGAGGTGAAACGAGCTGCACGGCAGCAGCACACGCTGGCAAAATGACAAAAGACGTCAGCAATAACGTCACCCGCGGAAAACGTCGGTTTACAGTGGCGGTCCAGCAGGTAGTGGCGGAGGCGCGCGGGAGGGATGAGGCGCGCGGGGGACTTTGAGGCGGGTGGGGGGCAAGCGAGGTGGCTCGTTGACGGATGCCCGGCCGTGGCGAGGTGGTGAGGCAGGAGGAGGGAAGCAGCGGCTGGGGCAGTTGCCCGCATGGGTGCATGGAATGCCATCGCTCGCCTCATTGCTGCCTCTTCGCTGTTCACCCCGGCGCCTCCAGCATCTTGCATGCCCTCTCGTCCCACCACCATCCTCACTTGCCCCCCCTTGCGCATTGAGTGATTTGTGGGTTGTACCCCATATGGGCTACCCCACTATAGCCTACACATAACTAGCATAGATATAGTTTGACATGAAAACCATCCCGTCCTCACCGTCTATCTGCGTAGTCGCGAGATGTATACGCACTCTCGTAAGGAGGGCCTTCTTAGGGAGGGATAGTATAAGGAAATTACTAATTCCTTATGCCGCATCCCTGCTCAGCGCGTACATTGCCGTAGCACCATGTCAAACTGAGGAATGAATGATGCATTGATGTTGGTTTGGGGTACATATAACAAACCCTAACTTTTGTACCCCCTAAGACAAACCTCACTACAGGCTACAACATTTGACACACCCCCATAGCCTAAGTGAGGGGTGTCTAGAAAAAACCAAAAGAGTACGGTCATAAGACCAGTCACAAAGAAACAAAGCTCGAGGTGGATCACAACGTTAACACACACTCTGAGCACAAGCAACAGTGGCCACAAGGCCAGTCCAAGCCACAACAGAGATATATAGAAAGTGTACAAGCAAAGCAAACAGTGAACTCAAGACTAAGTAAGACGAAAACCAGTGTCAACAAGGCCTAACTGCACACAGCACCTGTGGTGGTCACAAGGCGGAAGCGCCTTGGTAAAGATGTCTGCAGTGTTGGCCTCGGACTCCACAAACTCGAAGCGAGCCTGTCCACGTCTCTGCAACTCTCGCAGAAGGAAGTACCTGACGTTAATGTGCTTCACTCTGCTCTCCAGTCGCGGCTCTCGACAAAGGAGAATCGATGCCTTGTTGTCAGTGAACAAGGTCGGTGCAGAGCTCGGCCGCTCACCCAGGTCGGCGAGCAAGAAGGTCAACCAACGCAGCTCCTGTGCCGCCATGGCACCAGCATAGATCTCAGCCTCAGCTGTAGAGGTCGAGACTGAAGAGGAGCGCGTGGACCACTAGGAAACAGCTCCAGAACCCAGGCTGAAACAGTACCCCTGAGTAGACCTGTGAGTCTCAGCGTCGTCAGCGTAAGAAGAGTCACAGTGACCAGTAAGTACGACAGACTGCTGCCCTCCAAGAACTAGCCCCACACCTGATGTCGGCGCTAGGTACTTCGCCACCCTAACAGCTGCTGTCCATTGAACAGGATGGTGTCTCCCTGGCGCAACAAAGCGCGCAAGGATGCTGAGAGGGAAAGCGAGGTCCGGGCGAGTACAAGTCATCAGGTACATGAGGCAACCCACAAGCTCTGCGTAGGGACCACTAGGCTCAAACGGCTCATCAGGAAAGGGTCCAGTGAGTCTGTGGTCAACAACAAGAGGTGTGCGCTGTACTGTGGAGTGCTGAAGCCCGAACCGCTGAAGGACCTGCTACACCATGTGTGACTGCGAGAGTGTAATGGTGCAAGCAGCTCTGTCCCTGGTGATCTGCAGCCCAAGGTAATGGCGCAGCTCACCAAGGTCAGTGCACGTGTGTCTCTTCTGCAGTTCGGACTTCACGTCTGCCAAAGCAACCCTGTCAGCAGTGGCGAAAACGAGGTCGTCGACGTAGACCAGAACGAAGAACGGTGTGGAGCCACGGCGAACAAACAGCGACGGGTCGGCAGAAGACGGCTGGAACCCAAGGTCAGAGATGGTAGAGCGGAGAGTGTCGTGCGACTCTCGAGGGGCCTGGCGAAGACCGTAGACAGGTCGCCTCAGCCTCCACTGGGTCCCAGGAGGGAAAGTGCCAGTGAAGGCAGAGGGACGACGCAGCCAGACCTCCTCGTGTAGGCTGCCCTGAAGAAAAGCAGTGGAGAAGTCGAGAGAGTGTAACTTGTAGTACCTCTATGCTGCTACGTGCAGTAACACCCGAAGAGTGGTCATCTTCGGGGTCGGCGCGAAGGTCTGAAAGAAGTCAACTCCCTCGCGCTGACTGAAATCTCTAGCAAATTAGCGCGCCTTGAAGACCGGAGGAGATCCCGGTGGCCGCTTCACCCTGTAGATCCACATGCCATCGACTACGTTCGTCCCAGGGGGAGGAACCTCATCGACGTAGGTGCCTGTGGATCTGTAGGAGGCCATCTCTGCGTCCATGGCAGCTCTCCACTGAGAGGCCCAAGGCCCTGACACTGCCTCAGCGTAAGTGCGAGGAGTCGGAATGTCAAGGGCGTCGGGGTCACCCTCAGGGGTGAGGAGCATGGCACAGAGATGAGGGGAAGCGGCTGCCAGGAACTCTAGCTCAAACTGCCTGTCCTCTAGGACGTCACAGCCAAGGGCAGACACACCCCCGACGGCCAGAGGACTGGTAGGAGGAGCGGCCACAAGAGTAGTGGCGTAGTCAAGGCGGCGAGTAGAGGCAAACTCAGTGACCGCGGCAGTAAGAGCGGAGACAGAGGACAAAGAGGCACGAGGGTGGGTAACAAGAGAGGCGAGAACACGAGAGAGAACAGGACGGTACGTGCGGTAGTAGTCAGTGACAGGGGTAGAGAGAGAAGCTGTGAGGGCCGACTCAGGAGGAGAAGGAAGCACAGGAGGAGCCGAACGAGGCGGACTAGAACGCAACAAGACAGTACGAAGGTCAGTGAAAGGAACAGGGGACGAGGGACGAGCACGAGGAGAGCGGCAAGTAGCCCAAGTACGAGACGGAGGAGGAGACGACAAAGGCGGAGAACTGGGGAAAACAGCGGGGGAGGAGTCAGGAGGAGGAAACGTGGGACCGTAGACAGGAGGAGAGGGGGAGGAGGGAGGAGAGCGAGAGGGGAGACCAAGGGTCCGAAGACCCGGGACAAGAGGAGGAGGTGGCTGCTGCTGCTGTTGCTGCTGCTGCTGCTGCTGCGGCTGGTGCTGCTGCTGCTGCGGCTGCGGCTGCTGCTGTGACTGCTGCTCCTGCGGCTCCAGCTGCTGCTGCTGCTCCTACAGCTCAAGCTGCTGCTGCTGCTCCTCCAGCCGCTGTAACTCCCTCTCCTCTCTCTCCAACGCCAGCTGCTCCTCACGAGCACGGCGAACACGAGCCTGGTGCCTAGTCGGGTAGGGGTGGGGGGGCGGAGTAGTGTCCGGGGCAGCGGCAGCCCCAGAGTCCACCTCCGAAGCACCAGGCGCACCACCCCCAGAGGCAGCACCAACACCAGCTCCAGACCCAGGCTCACCAGAACCCGAAGGAGGCGCACCCTCACCCCCAGACGGAGCACCTCCAGTGTCCGCGCGACCAGCACCAGCTCCCGGAAGACAAGAGTCCTCTGCACCCACCGGCTCAGCTCCAACTCCAGCACCCCCAGAACCAGAAACCGGTACAGGAACAGGCTTAGCACCAACCTCTAGAGAACTAGCACCTGCGGCACGCTGCGAGGAGGACTGTGGGGAGGGAGGCTGTACCGGAGGGGCTACCGAAGGAGGAGGGGTAGCCTGGGACACACCTGACGGGGCTGGACCAGGGGGGGAGGCTGTACCGGGGGAGCAGGAGGGGGAGCGGCAGTCAGGAAGAGAGGGGGAGGAGGAACCGGGAGACCTCGACTGGGGTACCTGACGTAGTACGGGGTGGACTCCTCGAAACGGACGTCACGGGAGTCAAAGAACCGGTGAGAGGGAGGGTGGTAAAAGGTGAAGTCAGAGGAGTCCTCAGGGAAACCAAGGAAGTTACAAGGAAAGGCGCGTGGCGAGAGCTTGTCCGCAGAGGTGTCGCGGACAAGAGCCAAGCAACCCCAGACACGAAACCGCGACGCAACACCAGGGGACCCGGTCCAAAGACTGGTCGGCTAAGCTGACGGCCGAGAGACGCGTGGCCAGAGGTTCAGCTGGTGCGCGGCGTACCGAACCGCGTAAGGCCACAGAAAATGGGGGGCACGGGCGTGAGTCAGGGAGGTGCGGGCGATATCCATGACCAAGCCTATGCGGCGCTCAGCAACCCCATTCTACTGTGGGGACTCTGGAAGCGTCCAGGACTGACGAATGCCCTGCTCGCGACAGAATCCAGCGAGAATGCCGGAGCGAAACTCACCCCCGCGGTCGGAGTGAAGACAGCTGACACGACGGCCACGAGTGTCCTCGGTGGTGAGCAACCACCTGATCAGCGTAGAAGTCACCTCAGACTTCTTCGCCAGGGGGAACACCGTGGTGTAGCGGGAGTAGTCGTCAACGACCACCAGAAAGAAACGCTCACGCTCAGGGCCAAGGCGAGAGGCGGGGCCCCAGACGTCCAAGTGAAGCGTCTCAAACGGCTCGGTGGCCGGACGAAGGGAGGAGGAGTGAGGGGTGGCGCGCAGCCGACCCTCGACGCAAGGATCGTACGGTGGTGCAAGGGACGGTGGCAGCGACGGCAAGACACGCGGGAGACCTAAGACCAGACGCTGACTAGACATAGCGCGCAGACGTGGAAGAGAAGGGTGCCCCATCCGGTGGTGCCACAGAACGGTGGGGTGGGCAAGCGACCTGCAGGAGCAAGACGCAGCGACTGGACTGGACGCGACTACCTGAGGGGACGTAACCACCTGGTGAGACGCAGGGAGGAGACAAGGGGGAGGGACAGGGACACGGAGTAGGGGCTGCTGCGTCAGCGGCTGCTGCTGCTGCTGCTGCTGCTGCTGCGGTGGCGGCGACTGCTGCGGCTGCTGCTGCCGCTGCTGCTGCGGCCGCTGCCGTGCACGC